TAGGAGAAAGATCATAGAAGGAAGTGTTCGAAAGTACAAACCAATAAGAAAGAAAGCTAAGTCGGTCTCAATCCTACTAGAGACATCTAAGGAGGAGGCTGTGGAAAAGGAAGAAGAGGTTTTTCGAGTAATCCGAGAAAGGCGAGCGATGGAAGGACATCGGATACCGGATGAGGTGGCCGATACCATGAAGATAGGAATAGAGAGATTTTTAACAGAAGAAGAAACCCTTCTGATCAAAAGGATGTGCCAGAAGTTTCATCTGGCATTCACCTTTAATGATCATCAGAAGGGGCGGTTAGACGTGAAGCTAATCCCTCCGGTTAGGATCCACACAGTAGAGCATGAGTGCTGGAATGACAAAGGGTCACCCTACAAGTTCGGTTAGACGTGAAGCTAATCCCTCCGGTTAGGATCCACACAGTGGAGCATATGGGAGGAAGCCAGACCCGACAAAAACCAATAAGATATCTCAATGGCCAACGCCCCTGCACACAACAATGGAGGTAAGAGCATTCTTAGGCGTAATCAACTTTTGGAGGATATTTATTAAAAATTTTGTTAACATTGTCGAGCCTATCCGCGCCATGATTAGAGAGGAAGAAACCATGGATTGGACTGAGGAGCGAGAGGCAGTCGTTCAAACACTCAAGAACATACTGACATCGGAACAAGTCACCTTGGCAGCACCCTGTTTTAACGACAAAGTTGGACGGTCGTTTATCCTCGAGACGGACGGAGGGCCCTTGTCCATAGGGGGCGATTTGATACAGAAAGATGAGAAAGGGAAATAAATGCCGATTAGGTTCGAAAGTAGAACTCTGAACTCTGTAGAACGAAGATACTCTCAGTTCAAAAAGGAGGTCCTAGTCGTTCTAGATTGCCTCAAAACCTTCCACGCCAAGTCGTTTTATCATAAGGATCGATCCGACCAATGTCGCAGGGGCTTTAAAAAATTACAAGCTTATAGATCCGACAGTCGGGAGATGGGTAGGCTTCATCTTGCAGTTCGATTACAAGATCGAACGAATTGCTGGACTCAAAAACAAGACCAATGGGCTAAGCCGGGTCTGCATCACACCCGAAGGGGTGGAGGATGTGGAACCCATCGACGCATTTCTTGTATACGAAGGAGGAGCCCTTGCGGGGGAGTTGTTGATTCAGACTTTGTAAAAAGGGGCACCTTTCGTAGTTGCAAAGCTTAGGGAAGGGTCAGTCACTACACAAGGACGCAAAGAGGAGAAGAATTTGTGGGGAGCGATAGTGGGTCCGAGGGAGGAATTGATAGCGACAGCTATTGAGGGAGGCCGGGAAACCGTGATGAGTTTAGTAGAGTCTTGGGAACGAAAAAAGTTGCAGCTATTGGTGAACCAGATGCAGGAGAGGCAGGGTGATGATCAGGAAGGGAAAAAGTTTTTCTATGCTCACATATATGAAGGGATCTTTCGAGAAATCGGGTTGCTGCTGGTAGGAAACAAGCAACCCGTGGAGGTCAGCCTTAAAGCAAGAGAGGAGGCCGAAAGGTACATCATAAGGAGCGACCATCTATTAAGGAGGGAAGAAGGCGTTACGCCTAGGAGAGTCGTATGCGGGAGGTCTGGGCAGTTGGACGTAATCCAGATGCACGACTGACTAGAAGGGGGACATCGATCGTTCAAAGGGACCCTTGTAAAAATAACACCTCTCTATATGGTGGCCACGTACTGTCAGACCTGTTTGATCTGACAGGAACAGAGCTTGGCCTGCGACTTCGAGTCACTTAGACCAACACGGGTGCTAGGGCCAGGACATTTGGTCCATCTTGACCTTGCGGTCATACCTGTATGAATGGATGGATACAAGTATATTCTGGATGCACGAGACAACTTGAGTGGGTTTGTGGAGGCAGTCATCCTCAAGAAAAAAGCGAAGAAAGGTGTAGCAGATTGGATAAAGGATTTTTACCTGAGGCATCCCTTCATCAGGAGGTTCATAGCAGACATTGGAATGAAATTTGTAAGCCAAGAAGTGATAGGAATGCTAAAAAGGCTCTGCGTACCTATCAAGCTCATCGAGCTATATCACCTTGAGACTAATGCACCTGTGGAAAGGGGTCTTTCGGAGAACATGACACCTAAGAGGATGACGACTGCGTAGCACGACGAACTTGTTCGCGCCCCTTCACGTTCGAGTGAACGTGTTCGTGCGTTCGCACGAACAGTTCTCAAAAGTATTCGGGCGAACATAATTTATTTTTCGTAATATATATATATATATATATATATATATATATCGTCAAACAGAACTGCCCGGTAAACCGTAGGCAGAGAGAGAGAAGAGGACTACAAATGAGGGGCTGTGACAAACTGTTTCGTCGGAGTTTATATATATATATATATATATATATATATATACGGGATTACCTAACCGAACGTTCGGGCGTTCGGGGTCTCGTTCGGGGGCCAAACACCTTCAGGTTCGGCCCCCGCCAAAAAATATATTCGGGGCCTAAAAATACGTTTTTTTCCTGATTTGTTTTTTGTGAGTTCTCTATGATGTAACCTACACGTCTATAAATTTTGAAGCCATTCTGCTAAGCCATAAAAACATTAAAAATCGTCAAAGATGGGGGTGTCAAAACGTGCTCGCCCACTCACTATTTTGTTTCTTTTCACTTTTAACTTTTTGTTTCCATTTTATTCCGGGGCTTAAAAAACTTTATTATTTTTTGAAATTTTTAATGAGTTATTGATTATGTAAACTACATATCTGTAAATTTCCAGGGCATTTGTCAATGCCAAAAAATAATTAAAAAGATGGCGGTGTCGAAAAGGTGCTGGCACACTCACTCATTTTAAGTCTCTTTTTATTTTTTCTTATTTTTATCGTAGTGTTTATTTTCGGTATTTGAATTTTAATTCAAATTTGGTAAAAAAATTGGATACAATGCCCAGGCAAATATTGTTTAGTTTATTTTTCTCCATAACATA